CCTCAAGGTACAGAGATGATTAAGTGGTAAATAGTTAGTCACCTTGCAGAACGCTGTTCCCTAAAACACCTGGCTGTCCACTGGACGCACTTGAGAGTGATATAACACTGGCAATGACCGGCGTGGCCTCTTTAGTTATCAATGATGTGCGATTAACTGTACTTTGAGGGCCTGGAGACGGTGCTGGGCTTGTCCCTGAGGAAAAACAATCACCGAAAGATTAAATACAGACATAAAAAAGATAAGAATCAGAATAAAATATACTCAAAAATCTACATACCTTGTGTGGACAGAGGTTTGTTTACAGGTCTGACTGCCCCAGTGGTTCCCTGCAGACTGCAAAAGAACATCAAGCATTGCAAGCTGCAGAAATGCTTGATCTCACCCAGCCATTTCACAGTCTCTATCATCTTTTTGGCCTGCCTGCACATGGAGCACTTTATTTCCTGTCAGAAATATACTCACTGTTAGAAAGCCACATCCACGGCATAGTCTTAAAAGTCATGTTGCAGCACGAAACAGCCTCATGCACAGTAAATAATGCACAAATCTCTACATAAATCTTCTTTTCCAGATGTATACCACATTATTATTATTTTATTTTTTCCCCTTAGTTTCATTTAAATGTTCTTTCTGTTCTCAATGTCATGTGTGCATGTATGTTTGTACCAAGAGCTCCTAAAAAACCCCACAACAAATTCCTTGAGTTTTCACACAATTGGTGAATAAAGGCCCGTTCACACCAAGCACGATAACTATAAAGATAACGATAACGATATAAATTCTAAAAATCGTTCTCAATATTAAAGAATAGCATAGTTCACACCACAACTATAACGATACAGAGGAACGATATCGTTGTGATCGCTTTCAAAACGATTTTTTTCCAGCTGATGAACGATAAAACACTGACAGCCAATCAAAATCCATCCTGCTGTAACGAGCTCAAGAATTTAAAGCGGCAGACGCGCGTACGCTTAGAATAAACAGACGATATCGTTTGCTGGTGTGGATGCTAATATCGTTATCTTTATAGTTATCGTTCTTGGTGTGAACGGGGCTTAAAGCTCATTCGGATTCTGACATTGTTTCTCAGAATAAGCCAAAAGAGAGAAAATATTACCTTACGCATTAGTAAGGCATGTTGTGATAAGCATAAGTTCCCACAGAACTCCTCCTCTACGTTATTAACAACTTCAGTCACTAGAGTCTGAGCGGATCCGCTACAGTAAAAGCAGCTGCGACAGTGTTTCTTCCCCCAGCGCTTGACCAGGTCATGCTTAAACAGTAACTTGCATCCTGTACAGGGAAGAACAAACAATTGTGACATCATAACCCACAACTTGGGATCAAGACATGCATGTATGATGCAAAAAGAAGAAAACAAACAACATGCTAATAATCTCTTTAATTTTGCTTTTAGTATTTACCCTCACTGCAGAAAGAGCGGTCAATCTTGTTTATCCTTTTCACCTCCTTGACAATATTATCAATCTTACAGTATTCACAGCGAGCCATGACATTGTTGATCTGTTTGAACTCCTCAACACAAGCGTTATCACAGAAAGCATACATTTTCCTCTGAAAGATCAGGAAAACAAGCAAACAGTTAGGTTTAGAGTCAACTGCTCATCAATTCAAGTTTATTTGTATAGCGCTTTTCACGATCAGACAAATAAAAACTACTGTTTAGATTATTAATGAAACTTTTGAGAACGTTAATTACAAACTTTACAATACAAATATACATGTGTTATATATGAGGAGTCCCATCAATGTTGGTCAAATTATTAGACTTTTTAATGTTTAAAGGGGTCATATGATGCGATTTCAATTTTTCCTTTCTCTTTGATGTGTTACAAGCTCTTGGTGCACAAAGAAGATCTGTAAAGTTTCAACGACTAAAGTCTCAAATCCACAGAAATATTCTTTATAAAAGTTAAGTCAACCACGTCTACCTAAAACGGCTCGTTCTAACACGCCCCCACATGTCTACGTCACGATGTGGGAAGATTTGCATAACGCCGCCCAAATGTTCACGCAAAGAAAGGCGGCGTAACTTTTATTCTCGCTGTAGTATTGTTGCTGCCGCCTTTTTGTTTGGCCTTCCAAAAGAGGACGATATCAGCTAGAGCTGATCCGTGCTGGTCGCTGAGGAAATACATCAACCAGATCGCCAGATCGGCTTTCATCGTGGACGAAGCAGAGTCCAGCCCGGGGTCGTCATGTCATTGCTGCAAGCCCGCCGGCCACTCTTTTGTCGAATCCGCCGGCTTCCGCTCACTTAAGGCCACCGTGTGTGACGCTGTTTCGTTGTGAAAGCGAAACTACTTTGTTTGGCCTTCCAAAAGAGGACGATATCAGCTAGAGCTGATCCGTGCTGGTCGCTGAGGAAATACATCAACCAGATCGCCAGATCGGCTTTCATCGTGGACGAAGCAGAGTCCAGCCCGGGGTCGTCATGTCATTGCTGCAAGCCCGCCGGCCACTCTTTTGTCGAATCCGCCGGCTTCCGCTCACTTAAGGCCACCGTGTGTGACGCTGTTTCGTTGTGAAAGCGAAACTACTTTGTTTGGCCTTCCAAAAGAGGACACCGTGAAATCAGTGGTTAAGTTGTATTTACAACACTGTTCCAGAACAGTTCAACTCAAATATTCAGATGTGTGCTGCATATTTGATGGAGGACTGTTTCCTGAACAGAGTAAACTACAATGCCGGCTGTTCCGACTCACAGACTGTAAGTAAGTTTTTTATATATATAAAGAATTTGCCACTGACGATTCAAACGCGAGTTTTGAGCAGTGTAGAGTAGCACTTGTTGTTTGTCATTTCTCCGATCACAAATGCAGACATGGCTTTATGTTTACGCGGCGAGATGCAACCGTAAAAAGACAGTATAAGTCATTATAATCTGTAATTATGTCCCCACTGGATGCAACAAATGCCTTGTTTATAATGGGTTTTAATGTTTTTGTCTTGTCGCTCTGGGACACGGCATCACAGTATGGTAAGGGGCATAACATTTCCGTCACACGCTTGAGGTATTCGGCCAATCACAACGCACTTGTTAGCTGGCCAATCAGAGCACACCTCGCTTTTCAGACCGATGAAATTTGTAAAAATCGACGCGATTCAGAAAGGCGGGGCATAGAGGAGAAACAATAATGTACAGTATGTGGACAATAATGTGTTTTTTGAACCTTAAACCACAAACATTTCATTACACCAAATACACAAAATAATGTTCTTTTTAGCAACATCATATAACCCCTTTAATTTATTGATACTGTTCTAATACGTAAAACATGTTACTATATTTAAGACCTGTAATTAATAAATTACATGCCACATTATTTCTAGTTGGTCTATTCATTTTTAAACAAATAAAATTACTGAAATAAAAACAAAAGTGCTTACTTCAAGATTTTGTACTCCATGGCAGAGACATAAAGGGTTAGTTCACCCAAAAATGAAAATTAGCCCATGAATTACTCAACCTCAAGGCATCCTAGGTGTATATGACTTTCTTCTTTCAGACGAATCCAGTCGGAGTTATATTACAGTTTGTCTTTGATCTTCCAAGCTGTTTAATGGCTGTCAGTGGGTGTTGCACAAAACTTTGCAAAACAAAATTTATGTCACTGCTAAAACTTTTGGCCACGACTATAACAAGTTTTAGTACTTTTACTGTACTGAAGTATAAAGTATAGCAAGTGCAGGAAGTCACAAAGTCTCATGTCATTTAAAAAAAGAAATTAAGCCAAGCCTAGAAGGGTTAATTAACTAACTACAAATTATATAATTTAATTATTAATGGTATAACAATTATATAATGCATTACATTTTTTTGAAATATTTTTAGATTTAATTTAAAAATTACATTGTTTTATCTTGAACTGTAGAAGCTGCTAAATACATTCATCTAACGCAGACTTGCTGCTGTAGTTTTGTTACTCTGAATTACTTAATGCACAGCTTTGTTTCTGACATCAGTGTCGATAAAGTACTGCGAAATGATGGCGTTTCCATTAACCAATGTTATGGGGCTAAAACATAACCTTTTGCCTCTCGCGATAAGTCATGGCAACGGATTTTGGTGGGATTTTGGCTATATTTATTCAAAGGAGGCTTATGCATGTATCTTTACAGAAGCAGCAAAGAGAGCCGCTTCAGAAACATGCGTGGCGCGGCTGGAATAAACCATAGACTGTATAAAAAACATCAACACAAGCATTGAGTGGCCGTAATCAGCTTCAGTGACCGTATCAGAGCCACACTGCACCGCAGACGTGTGCAATGTAAATTATCTAAGTATTAATAGTAGGGAAATCCCCTTATACTGGAGCGCAGCCACTTATGAAGTGTTTCTTGGAGGTTATAGTACATTGAAGAATGATCATATGACTTTTTACATACGCCATGTGACCTGTAAATGCGAAAAAGGCGTTTCCATTGCAGTTTTGCGAATTAATCCTTTCGCATTGCCTGAAAAACCACCTCATGCGAGCGTAAAAACTTTTTTGCGATATATGGCCTTTTTTGCGAAATTGACGCGTTTCCATTAGGCGTATTTTTAATTCGCAATTTCAATTTGCGCAATTTGAAGGGTAATGGAAACGCGCCTACTGTCAGTCATAGCAATGACTTGCATCACAATTTAGTGGATTCACTCGCTGGACGTTACATGGATACATGGACGTTTGGTCCTCTTACACAACACTTTTCTTCAAATTGAGAATGGATTATGTAGACATCTTGACAGTTGACCAGAAATAACTGAGCTGGCTTATCTAAAACCAGGAAGTAACTATGCATATAGTCCATAGAGAGTGTTTAGGTTTTTTTGGGGATTAAAAAAAAAAAAGGAGGAAATGGATGTTTTATTATTGTAGGGTTGTTGTGTCCACACAATGCTAAGACAAATTTATATGCAAACCCCACGTAAAAGTGAATTTTGCATCCGATGTCCCCTTTGAATTAGAGAGATCAGTAAACTCTACCTGATATGATACTACACATGAAAAGGAGCAGAAGTTTTGGATGGTTCCGTCAGACATGGCTAGATGGTACTGAGGCACTAGTTTAAGCTTGCAGCTGTTGCATTCCACCGGAGCACCTTGTTAACATGCAAACAAAAAGGATATTTGAGAATACTTTACAAAAAAAAAAGAAAAAAAAAGAGAAAATCATTAAGAATGCGGAATCTTGGTGAACAACTGGTTATGTTACCTGAAGAACTGACCGTCTGAACCTTATTCGCTGTGACACAGGTAGTTGAACAGAAAAGCTCCCTGATTCCCTCTGTATTCGGACTGTCCACCATTTCTGCAACCGGGCGCATGGTACGGCAAATTTTGCAGGTGACTGGTTTAAAACTTTTCTACAAAGAAAGATCAATTTATTTAATAATGACTTTCAACAAACGAACGGACCATTATTTAGTTATTAATTTGACATTACCTTTTTGAAGCCTATGAGGCAGTTTCGTTTGCAGAACTTCATAAGACTGCCCTCTATCTGCAGAGACGGACACTGACTGTCTGTGCCATTGCAATATCCTCCACACTTGACACAGCTGTTCATAGTCAGTTTATTGGAGGAGCGGAACTGCTTGAAACAGCTGTTGCTGCACAGCTTATGGATGGAGCCCTTTAAGTTCACTTCGTGAGTGAAAGTCTATGAGAAATACAATTACAACATTTTAAATCTTTTAAAGATTTTATTTCTATATAGGCCGTATAGGCAGCCATACACAATTGTCACAGACAAATAAAACAACTAAAACATTAAGAAATAATGTAAAGAACAATAGTGTTTTCTACAGAAGTATAAAATAAGAAATGTAAATGCATCACAAGAACATCCAGTCAGATAGGATACTGAATATTGTTTCCAAAAAAAGCAAAGAAAAAAAAAGGTTTGTGAGAACTTAAGCAGCGTTGATAAGAAATGTTTCTTGAGCACCAGATCAGCATATTGCAATAATAAAAAAAAATAAAACAATAATATATATATATATATATATATATATATATATAGTTTTTATTACTGGATTTCATAGACCAGAGCCTGTTACATGTTGTGAAAATCATCTTGCCCTTTCATTCACATAAAACAAAACATTTAACTTAACTACCGCTCAAAAGTTTGGGATCAGTAAGACTTGTAATGTTTTTTTAAAGTCGTCTCTTATGCTCATCGAAGCTGCACTTATTTGATCAAAAACACAGAAAAAAAACAGCAACCTTGCTAAATGTTATTACAAGATAAAATAATGGTTTCTATTTTAATATACTTTAAAATATAATTTATTTCTGTGATGCAAAGCTGAATTTTCAGCATCATTACTCCAGTCTTCAGTGTCACATGATCCTTCAGAAATTATTATAATATGCTGATTTATTACCAGTGCTGGAAACTGTTGTGCTGCTTAATATTTTTTTTGGAACCTTTGATGAATAATGTTAAAAAGAAGAGCATTTATTTAAAATAGAAATCTTTTCTAACAATATACACTACCGTTCAAAAGTTTGGGGTCAGTACATTTTTATTCTTTCTTTTTTTGAAAGAAATTAAAAATAAAATTCATAAGAAGTGACTGCAAATATTTATATAGTTAGAAAATATTTATATTTTGAATAAATGCTGTTCTTTAAAACTTTTTATTCATCAAAGAATCCTGAAAAAAGTATCGCAGTTTCCCAAAAAAATATTTGGCAGCACAACTGTTGCCAACATTGATAATTCTAATAACAAATCAGCATTTTAGAATGATTTATGAAGGATCATGTGACACTTTATACTGGAGTAATGAACTGATGGAAATTCAGCTTTGCATCACAGAAATAAATGATATTTTAAAGTATATTAAAATAGAAACCATTATTTTATATTGTAATAACATTTTGCAAGATTACTGTTTTTTTCTGTATTTTTGATTTTTTTTTAATGCAGCCTTGATGAGCATAAGAGACTTCTTTAAAAAACATTACAAGTCTTACTGATCCCAAACTTTTGAGCAGTAGTGTGTGTGAGACACTTTTTTCAATGTTTTGATGTATTTCACATCAGGTAGGTAAAGGTAAAGACCTATCAATGTGGGATGCGACTGAGGAAACCAACAAAAATGTGAGAAGACTTAAAAGAAAGAATGTTTTTGTTTGCAGTTTATTTACAACAGTGTACAACAATGCAGACGGACAGAAAGACAGATAAAATAAAAGACAGGTCAAAACCACATTTTTTAACAGTCACAGAGCTTTGTGCCATTCCTGGAAACAGTTCCTGGTCAACTGAAGACACAAGTGCACATCGCACGCCTGGCATTTCCAAGGAGTTTGCTGCTTCTTTCCATGCGCTGCTTTACAGTGCACACAGATTCGCCGACCACTAGAGGCAACTTTCCTGGTATCAGTGCTCAGCAGAGCTCCTGGAACAGGCACATGGTCACTGCTGGCCCGTTTCTCTGGGATTTTAGGTGACACACCACAGAGCTCTGAGATAAGCTGCTCCATAAACTCCTTGTAGGTCATGTTGCCATATAGCTCTTTGTGAACTGTAAAAGAGTTGGTGGCAGCAATGTCCAAGAAGTCTAGGAAGATCTTTCTGTACCACTTCAAGGTTTTGTGCTGTGCGGTGTAGTATTGCAACAGCCGATCGGGCAAGTCAACGCCCTCCATGTATTGGTTGTATGCAGTAACAGGTGCGGGACAGGGGAAAGTCTTTAAGCTCCATGTATCTTGTGTTTTCACTCTCCTCTGCACGGTGTCTCCTGTGTAGGCAGGATGAATAGTGGAACACACAGACACCTCTCGTGTGTCCATCCACTTCACAAACACAAGCGGACCATTGCGAATCCATCTAATGGATCCCCTTGGGGAATTTTTAGTCAGTGAATTAGCTGCATTTTGTGGGCTATTCTTCCTGTAGTCTCTGTAAGTCCCACAAGCGCCATACCCCATGTCTATCAAGTCTGTTAGGAGCTTTGGGCTTGTGTAGAAATTGTCCATGTACACATGGTACCCAGATCCCAAAAGTTTTTTGTCCATGAGAGACATCACAGTATCATATGGCAGTCCATTGCCTGTGGCAACATTGTTTTTTCCTGTGTACACAGAAAAGTCAACAGTATATCCATTTGATGAGTCGGCGAGGACAAACAGTTTGAAGCCCCACTTGGTTGGCTTGGCATTCATGTACCGTGTCATTCCTGTGTTGGCTTTGCATGCCACCATTCTTTCATCCACAGCTAAATTTCTTCTAGGATGATAAATAGTTTTGCACGCAAGACGGATCGTGTCCATGAGGGGTTTGACCCTGAAAAGCCAGTCATATTCATCTGTGCCCTTCTTTTTGTCATTCTCCTTGTCCGCAGCTGGGTGACTCATGTGCATATTCCATGAAATGGTGCGGTATCTGTCCCTTGACATGATTGTGGCGGGAAAAGGCACAGAGCAAAGACTGCCCTGCCGCCAGTAGTCATTGATGGAGCTCAACTTCACCATGCCCATGTAGAATATGAGTCCAAAGTAACGGTACATTTCACTAACACCGACATCTGTCCACCTGTATTTGCGACCCCTTTCAATTGATCTGGCAACCTGGGCATTTGTGTTGTAGCATAGAGTTGAGACAGCGCTTTCAGAGAAAAAGAGTTTGAAGAGACTGAGGGGAGTGTACGAGTCAGTTGACCACAGCTGCGGTCCGGGATCCCGTGCGGGCACGAATCTCAGAGTCTGTGGAACCAAGTCGACTTCAGTCTCTGTTTTCCATGTCAGAGCAGACTGCTTGTTTGTCCTGGCTTTCTTTGCAACAGGCATCTGGTTGTCACTGTCGTTCTCTTCATTTCTGTTTTATAAAAAAAACAAACCTGTGAGCATGATGATAACAGGATCAAAGCTATTTTTTTAACATGACTAAATCGCTAATATTGCACTCATAGCAAAAACACATGCACATTTATAGCAACCTAAAAATTAATGTCTGATCAGATATTCACAAATAAGCTAAATTGATACGGCATTATTTTACAGTAGTGTAAATTATTATTTCTCATTTATATCAATATACACTACCTTTCAAAAATTTGGGGTTTCTTATGCTCACCAAGGCTGCATTTATTTAAACAAAACTACAGTGAAAACAGTAACTTTGTGAAATTTTATTATAATTTAAAATTTCTATTTATTCTAAAATATAATTTATTCTGGCAAAGCTGAATTTTCAGCAGCCATTACTTCAATCTTCAGTGTCACAAGATCCTTCAGAAATCATTCAAATATGCTGATTTGGTGCTCAAGAAACCTCTCTTATTATCGGCACTACTTACTTTTAGTTCAAACAGTGATACATTTCTGATTAATAAATAGAAAGTTCAAAAGAATAGCATTTATTTGAAATGGACATTTTGTAACATCTTCACTGCCAATTTTGATCAATTTAATGCATCCTTGATTAATTAAAAAAAAAAAAAACCTCTCTCAAACCGAACAATAGTTTATTATACAGCACAAAAGTTACTTGTTTTGTACAACATTTAGATGTAACGACGAGTTATATTATGTCCTAACTTATATCCATGACAGACATATATTACTCAAAATATAGTAAACTAGTAAAATATGTGCATGATTATTTAAAAATGATATGACAACTAAAAGTATGAATGACTTACTCATCAGAAAGGACATCCTCGGATGGATCAAGTTGCTCTTCAAAATGCGACCATTCATCATTGGACTCCTGCTCCTCTTCTGAGGAAAAGGTGAATTCTTCCTCGCTGTCCAGGACCGTCCCAAGAGCTTCCTCACACGTGCAGTGTGCCATCTTCCAAAAGCGATGAAAAGTGAATGAATCGGATGAAGCTTGAAGCCATTTTTATCACATTGATGGGGGAGCTTTTACCATGTATGTAACCGAATGAACAGCGCACTCTGCAGGTGGGGTTGAGGCACAAAAATGGTAGCTAACCAACCATTAATCGTTGGAGTAAATCATTTGCATGCATAATAAAGCTGAAAAACAATGAGTTAGAAAAGTTTCGTTTTCCTTCTGTCTTTACAGCGCACTGTTCTTATTGATATCGGTGGATTCGCAGCGTAATCTCTATTGTGCCCTACTCACTATCGGGGTCATATGATGCGATTTCTCTTTGGAGTGTTACAAGCTCTTGGTGCATAAAGAAGATCTGTAAAGTTGCAAAGACTAAAGTCTCAAATCCAAAGAAATATTCTTTATAAAAGTTAAGAGAGTCAACCACGTCTACCTTAAAACGGCTCGTTCTAACACGCCCCCACATATCTACATCACTATGTGGGAAGATTTGCATAACGCCACCCAAATGTTCACGCAAAGAAAAGGCGTAACTTTTATTCTCGCTGTAGTAGTGTTGCAGCCGCCATGTCATGAAGGCGCTGTGTGATTTGTGGTTGCCACAAGCCCTCCGGACGCTCCTTCGTCGAATCCGCCCGCCGTTCTCAAGCCCACCGGCCTCCGCTCACTCTAGCTCTGCGGCAGTTTCTTACTCTAGCCCCCGGCCTCTGCTCACTCAAGGCCGCCGTGTGTGACGCTGTATTCATTGTGAAAGCAAAACTACTTTGTTTGGTCTTCCAAAAGAGGACGATATCGCTTCGTCATGCCTGGAGCTGATCTGTGCTGGTCACTGAGGAAATACAACAACTTTGCGCTGTGGATCGCCGGATCGGCTTTCACCGTGGACGAAGCGGAGTCCAGCCCGGGGTCGTCACATGTGGTTGCCACAAGCCCTCCGGACGCTCCTTCGTCGAATCCGCCCGCCGTTCTCAAGCCCACCGGCCTCCGCTCACTCTAGCTCTGCGGCAGTTTCTTACTCTAGCCCCCGGCCTCTGCTCACTCAAGGCCGCCGTGTGTGACGCTGTATTCATTGTGAAAGCAAAACTACTTTGTTTGGCCTTCCAGAAATAGACACGACTAGAAATCAGTGGTTAAGTTGTATTTACAACACTGTTCCAGAACA